CTTTTTGCATGTTAGCAGAATACTGGGTTTAAATCCTGACTCCTCATCTATAAACTGTGTTACCTAAAGCAAGCTGCTGAATACCTATTTTGCGGAGTCACTGCGCCGACTAAACAGTATTGGAACTACTAGAAAGCACTTAGCAGTGCTTCATATCCAGGAAGCCTTCAGTAAGTTCGTTCGGTCAACGAATGTTAATTGAGCACCTAGGATGTACCAGGTATCCCTGTAGGTACTGGCATCTGCCACTGAACAAAACGGCCCAAATCCCTGCCATTTGTGGAACTTCTTTCTAGTTTCCTTCCCTTCCTTTGATGTGGTAGTTTCTAAGAGGAAAAGCCATGATTCCACCTCGCCTACCCAGTAGTCTCTCTCCCTAGACTCAGATGAAGTTAATACTTATAGGTACCCATTTTCCATTATTTTAAAAGTGCTTTTCCATTCAGTTACCGTATTCTCTGGAATGGCCCTAGGAAGAGGCTTTTTTTATTCCTCGTTTGACAGGTAAGAAATCTGAAGCTTGGAAGTTGCAGCGTACTCACAGTCACTCAATAGGAGAAGCTGGAGCTAGAATTTGAAGCCACACTTTGATTCAGAGTTGCCCGCTCTTTCTGCAGTGGCACTTGTATCGAAAACTCCACAGTGGCTCTTACTCATTTCACTGCCCATTTTATTTCAGTTCTGTTGATATTTATTGAACCCCTACCAAGTGCCTGGTATCGGATCTGCCCTGGGAAGGCAAAGATTGTGTAGTCCCCGCCCTGAGGAGTTCAGCGTTTAGAGGGAGGGCTGCTGACACATAAGTGGACCTGCCGTGTGCTAAATGTAAGGCTAGCTGTATGTTGTAATTGGATTCCTCTGAAGCACAGAGAATGGCCACCTCATCTAGAGCCAGGTGGTACATGTCACAAAAGACACGCTGGAAGATCTCCTGCCTTAGCTGAGTCTGAAAGGATGACTTAGCCAGGGAAGAGGGAGGGATATGAGCCGTAGCAGAGATGCATGGTGAGTGTAGAGACTTACAGGCTTCTAGGGTTGCTGGAGGGTAAAGTACGAAGCAGGGAATGACCAGGAAGCAGCCTAGGGTATTTAGTAGCTACCAGGGGATACCATAAGGCAAAACTCTTACCCGGCCCCCTCTTGGTACCTTTAGGTCAGGTGTCCATCCTTGGTCCGGTTAGCTATAGTCAGGCCGAAGAACCGCTTGGTGCAAAGGATAGTGATCTGTGCTTAAGGAATCGCTCAGAAGGGGCAGGGGGCAAGTGTGCATGCCATACACTCTGAGGTTTCCTAGGAGGGGTAGTGTCATTGGAAGGCTGGCTCACTGCGTAGTTGGTCCAAGACAGAGGCATAGTAGAAGCTGGGACTAGTGTGGAGATGGCGAGTTTTTAGTGGCATCCATTCAACTCACTATGTGATCTCCCTGAACATGTGGGAGACCACATGGCTGAATAGACTGACACCAGACCAACCTTTATAGCCTCAGCTAAACAATATTTTCAGTGAAAACCATGTTTCAGTTATACCAAGGAGATAAAAACAGAATGAAATATTACCACTCTGGGCTGTCTTCAAATTTCCCTTACCTGTATTCCCAGAACAACCATAATTTCACATATATATTGAGTGCTTACTACAGTTTAGACACTGTGGCAGATGTTAAGATAGGTATAGCATTACCCCTTTCCTCGAAAGTTTAAGGGCCAATGGGAGCGACAATTATGCATTAATAGGTGGACAATCCACCTTTCCAACCTTATTTCTCGCTGCTCCTAATCATATACTGGCCAGACTGAGTCCACCTAAGGGGCACCCGTTTTGTTCTTTGCCAGTTCTTTACATGGCTCCATTTTTCTGTAGCCCTTTCTCCTGTGGTGCTGCCTTGCTCCTCAGCAACCCCCAAACCCACATCCTGTCTACTCATCAGGACCTAGCATATTGCACTTCTTCTATATAACTTCTCCTTATTTCTCTGGATGATACAACCTCTTCTTTCTCTGAAATCCTGAAATTGTTTCCTATGTACCTCTCTAACTTAATACCATATTATCAATTCTAAGATGTGTATTTTCTCACATTTTAACATCTCTGTAAGTTATTCTTCTAAGACACTCGGTTTGTCATCAACATTCTTGAAAGACCACATGATAATATTCTGTGGAAAAACATGAACAACTACTCTAAGTCAAAAAGTAGTTCAGAAGAATGAAGAAGCTAGTTTATTTTGCATTTATTCTTTTTATGTGTACACTATGCACTATATGATAAAAACCTGCCTAAGTAAGTCTTTGAAAAACTTTCTTGATACAAAATAAAAGTTCTAAGAGATTAGGCATCATGTTATAGTTTAATTGGCAGCTTTTTTCTTAGTGTACATACAATAATAGTGTGACTTAACAATCATTGGTGTCCTAGATTCAAAGAAATATGATAGTTAATTTTTATTTTGTTGATTAAATATGCCAGACATTGAGAACACTTACCTCCCTAATTGTGTCATATATATTTATATATATATATAGTTTCCAAATCCCATATTAAACTATAAGCTCTTTGGGGACAGAGTTTGTGTTTATTTTGGCTTTGATTCCCTTACAATACTTGGTATGGTACTTTATGACAAATAGACATAAAACAAATATTTACTAAATAAATGGATTAACACAAGAAGTATTGTATAGTAAGTGCCACAAAAAGATAAAGTACCGTGTGAGCAAACATCTGCCAGTATATATTCTCACTTAACTGCCTAACTGTAGTTTTGTTAGAAATATATTTACATATGGCATTTGGGCAGGTCCTTGAGCCAAATCTCAACTTAGGCCAGTGGCTTTTGAATCAACCATACACAATCCTAATAGAATCCTATAAACTCTAGGTCCTTTTTGCAGACCACATTTCTGAGCAAATGTGGTGACTCATCTTAATTAAATCATGGTAAGTAGTAAATAAAGCCTTTGCCTTGGAGAACAAATGACAGTGACTTTCCCTAACTACAACGCTAAGATTGTACAGAAGACCAGACAAATGCCCGTCCCTAAGAAATACAGTGCTTCTGGGGGCCCCAGCTGACTCAGTACAGCATGCACTTAAAAATAAAATCTTAAAAAAATATATATAGTACTTAAAAATTTTTTTTGTTTTCTTGTTTTCTTTCTTCCAGTCAACCTCTATGCTCCTATAATAAAAAACTGCCTAGGGAATTTTTACCCTTATTCTTTGGGCTACAAGAATAACAAGAAATAACGTCTAAGTGTTTTTCTCAGGCAGCTAAATGGTTTTACTTCTGATTCAAATAAGTTTGTTTCCATTTTTCTCTAATGGAAGGAGCAATGCCTGTGTGTTTGCAAAATACTTGGCGTGGGTAACCGCTGTGGTAGTCCACATTACTGTTCACCAAATATTTCCAGTTTTCTTTCTGGATACGTGATACAATTATAGATCCTTTCCCCACAAAAATTAGGCGCGGTCGTGTGACTTTTTTGTCCGATGAAATGAGACCAGAAGTGACATGAAGCTTTAAGAACTAGTACATAATTTGTCACATTTCCTTTATCCTCCTGAAGCAGGTATAGATGCACAGAGAAGGAGCCTGCCTTAGCCTAAGTCCCTGAGTGAGGGCAGCACAGAGCCAAGCCCCCATCTCTGTTAGTTGACCTGCTCATAGATAGGCATGTTACACGTCTCATACTACTTAGACTGTGAGTGTATTAGATAAACGTAATCCCGAGTATCTTGATTAATACAGTCTTCAGCCAAAACAGTAGGCTTTGGTGATAACTAAAAGAGTATAAAAGATTTGGCGTGCTGATCTTGACCCCGTATTTCTTTTTCTTCCTGATGGAAATGCTTACTGTACATAACCCCTACAGGACAGTATTCATCTCAAGATGATTAGAGTCATTTTCCCAGCATTAACATACTTTTCTTTGAATTACAACTTTTTCTCAAGACCTAAGATGTCCTTTCATCTGCCAACAATAGAATTATTACTTGAAAGTAGTGGCTATCATCATTCATGCGTGCATTTGTTCTATTATTCAACACACTTTTATTGGCTGTTGATTGTTTAGTAGGTGCTAAGACTAGGAAAATATTCAAGGAGCTCTAGATAGTTTGGTGAAAGTGGCAGGAGGGAGGCAGTGGTCAAAAACTATAAAATGCTTTGTTCTCCTGAAGTCTAGATGTTTCAACGGTTTCATAAATGACATTTCATTTATGAAATATTTCACATTTCATTTTAAGATAGTTTACCTACATTTGAAACTTAAGTTTACAAATAATATATTCAAGGTGACATAGACCAAATTTTAACAACTTTTGAGACCACCAACGTATTACCTTGTACTAATTACATAACTTTTTTTTTTTTTTTTTTTTTTTTTTTTTTTTTTGGTTTGAGTGTTTTATTTTTGGTTTTGGAGGTTTTTTGGCAGCTCTTAGTATAAAGCTTCTTCTCTTCTCAGTATCAGCATATTCTTTAAAATTCCTTTACTGTCCTAAGTACCTTCTCACCTCAGGGCTCTTGCATATGCTATTCTTGTTTCCTGTTTTCTCTTGATTTAGTTCAGGAAATTAATTACCAGATGCCTTTTCTATTGAATTGCCTCATAGAAAGGAGTATGTATATTTTTCTGTTACCTTGTTTTGTTTTTAAAAATCTGTTATCAAAATTAGATGTTTCTCTACCATAGCTGGTATAGAAACTAAGAGACAAGAAGTTAAGTGTTATCAAAAAGTATAATTATCCCAATTATCCTAGAAGAAAAAACAAATTTGTTCCATTACCAGGTAGTTTCAAGCAACTATTGTTTATAAATTAAAAAATTAAAAGCTGGATTATTTTTTTGGTCTCCATTATAAAATGGGCATTTTGTAGGGCATTAAATTTTTTTGGTCTCCATTATAACATTCTTTTCAAAAGCGGTACAAAGCAGTAAGAAGACAGCAAGGCACTATCATGGTTTTCTCTCCCATCACTTTCTGCCTTTTCGTTCTAGGGGTTCTTCAGCAAGCGCCTGAAAGGCTCCATCAAGAGGACCAAAAGCCAATCAAAGCTTGACAGAAACACGAGCTTTCGGCTTCCATCCCTTCGTAACACAGATGACAGGTAGGAAGTTAACTTGCTTGAAGCAGGAAAAGCAGTGTGGTTTTTTTGTTTTTAAACGGAAAAAGCAGTTCTACAGTGGGTTTTGATAAGGCATTTTTGGCCTTCTCTAACTTTTGGAAAGATCTAATACTACAATTGACTCATTTTGTCTGCGGGGTTTTTTTGTTTGTTGTTTTTTGTTTCTTTGTTTTTTGTCTTGCTCATATTGAGGCAATTTACAAAGTGTTAACTCAAATGCCCAGCCAGTTTAAGAATCTTATAATATTGGAAATTAAGAGCGAATTGAAATGCTGTTTCTGTAGAATCAAACTCTAGTGGTTGGAGATGTATCTTTCTTTTGTAAAATGACGGACGATAGGGATGATGATGGTGACAGTAGCAAACATGTTCTGAGCACTGAACCAGACACTTTATATGCATTATCTTGTTCAATCTTTATAGTAACCCTGTAAGATATTCTTATCACCACTTTGTAGATGAAGAATCTGAGGCACAGAGAGATTAAGTAATCTTGCCCAAGGTCATAGAGCTCAGTAAAAAGCAAAAATGGAATTTGAACTTGAGCAATTTGGCTCAAGTCCCTGCTGTTCCCTGCTGCATTGTTCTTTGTGTACAGCATATGGAACCAGTTGTCTTGGTTTGCAGTCACACCTAGAAGACCTGAATGAAAAGACCTGAATGGAAAAAAAATATTTTGATTCTTAGGACTGTCAGCTTGAGTAACCCTCAAATGCGTAGCTCACTAGGGACAACAACCTTCTAAAATGATTGAATGTGAGGGGCGCCTGGGTGGCTCGGTTGGTTAAGCGTCCGACTTCGGCTCGGGTCATGATCTCACGGTCTGTGAGTTCGAGCCCCGCGTCGGGCTCTGTGCTGACAGCTCGGAGCCTGGAGCCCGTTTCAGATTCTGTGTCTCCCTCTCTCTCTGCCCCTCCCCTGTTCATGCTCTGTCTCTCTCTGTCTCAAAAATAAATAAACGTTAAAAAATAAGTAAATAAATGAATAAAATCATTGAATGTGCACCAGGACACATTGTTCAAAATTTAGGAAATGGTGCTTGCTGTATCCTGACACATCACCACCATCACTAACATTTATCAAATGCCTACTACGTGCCAAGCATTTTTAATGTAGTATCTCATGTAATATAACCTTAGATACTTTTATTATCCTCATTTTACAGATGAGGAACTAAGGCAAAAGAGATTGAGAAACTTGCCCAAGGTCACACAGCTAGTAAGGAGTGGAGTATGTCTGCCTTTTGTATTTGATACTCTTAATGTATACTGGGTTTTTTTTCCTTTCACTAAGTCCATTATTTTCAGTTACCCACATTACAAATAAAGATTACAGTCTCTGTAATGGCAGATTATAGATTTACCAGGCAGAAAATTACTCTTCTTTTTTATAGATGAAGTAAGTTGTCCCCCATCCTGACTTGATGAGAGACTACTGCTATATCAGCTCTTCTTGTCCCCGAACCCCTTTAGAGTTACTCTGTGAAATTTGCAACTCTGTCCAATTTACTGTGTAATTGCATTGTTAATCATCTCCTTCACACCTCTTTGTTTTAAGGTAACCAAAAAAAAGCTGATTTTTGCCTTTCCTATTTTTTCTTCCTATTATTTTACAACTTCCATCATTCTAAGAATTAAAAACGTTTTCTAAATAAGTCTCAAGAAAATAGAGTGACTTTTTTTTTTTCAGAATATTGGCTTTTAAGAACAGCGATGTCGTGCGGCCTCTAAAATACCCCCCATCCAGTAGCCACTGCCTTAAACTCTGCAGCATTATGTGTATACATGGGAGATGAGAGATTTTTTTATAGGCGCACTTTATTTTGTAAACTTGCACTAAATTTCACTTTAATTTCACAGTGTGCCCTCCCATTCCATTTTGCTTTAGGTAACCTAAAAGAATGCTTGGGTTGAGTTACTAAGAGATTGTATTCTCCTCAAGTCTCTGATCCTGCTGTTATACAGCTAGTGTACTTCAGCCTTTCCAGTGACCTAAATCCATCATGTGGGCCTGCCTCGCTGTCCTGCTTCAGTCAGTGGTAGTATCTTTGTGTCTCAAATACAGCATAATAAAAAGGGGCTCATTAATCTCAAATATTTGTATTTTTCAAATCCACTTGAATTATAAAAGTTTCCCAAACAGAAATTTTTCAAAAACTTTATTTTTCCCACACAGTGATATACTCACTAGAGTTTGGATGTATTACAGTTTAAGAAAAAAACAAAAACAGGCTCTTTTGTCTTCAGATCATCTGGAGATGCAGGTAAATACAACTGAGGTACCAGATATTATCTTTTCACTTCTTCTATGAGTTCTTTGAATTGGTGCCCTTATAGGTGTGACCAAAGATTCTTTCAAAGACCCTGGTTTTCTTGGGTTGTGTTCATCAATTGCCAAAGTCCGGCCATTTCATCCAAAATGGTATATAGTGTCTAAATCTCAGTAGCAGAGCGTTTCTGTTCTTATATCAAATCCATAGAAACTCTAGGCAAACCTAGTAACCAGCCCTTTTTTTCAGTTTTTAAATTGTGCAGTAAAATACATGTCTTTGTTTTAAAAAGTGTTAGTACATAAATACAGATCAAAAGCTGAAGTCGCCCTTCACCTTCCCCAGCGCCCCCTATAAATAACCTCATTAACAGTTTGTATATTTTCAAACCACTTTAAAAATCCATACACATGGAGCACCTGGGTAGCTCAGTCAGTTGGGCATTCAGCTTCTGATTTCGGCTCAGGTCATGGTCTCGCGGTTCATGGGTTCCGGCCCCATGTGGGGCTGACGGTGCAGAGTCCGCTGGGGATTTTCTCTCTCCTCCTCTCTCACTCTGCCCCACTCCCACTCATGTGTGCTTGCTCTCTCTCTCTCTCTCTCTCTCTCTCTCTCTCTCTCAAATAAACTTTAAAAAAATTTTTTTAAATACATATATATGTTTTACTTATTTTCATATGCGATGGGATCATATTACACATTTTTTTGTGACTAACTTTTCAGTATATTTTGGGCAACTTTTATGTCAGTACGTGTAAATCTACATTATTTTAACAGCCGTCTTCTTCGTATGCTAGTTTTTTGTAACATATATTTCACTTCTGTGTGGATATTTTAACTGTTTCCCTCCGTGGGGCACAAAATACAGATGTAATGGACATCTTTGAACATACACGTTTTTTATCCTTATGTGATTAAGTCAGATTTCTGAAGTAGAACTACCAGGTAGAGTAGATGCACGTAATCAAATTGTCCTTCAAAAAAGCTATAGAAATTATCATTTCCACCAACAGATTAGGATTACTTTTATCTTTTAAACAGCATTGTACATTGAGTCGATATGATGGAATAAATAGTAATCATAAACACCTACATGGTATTTACAATGTGCTAAGACCCTGTTCTAAGCATTTTATATAAGCTAACTCATTTGATCATCACAGCCATCCCATGAGGTAGTTACTGTAATGACCTCATTTTGAAGATGAGAAAACTGAGGCACAGAAATTACGAAATTACACAAGGTTAGAAAATGGCAGAACTATGTTTCGAATCCAAGAAGTCTGTCTCTAGAGTCCACAGTCTTAAACTTTATGCTATACTGCTTCTCAAAAAAAAGTGAGTGAAGGGGGATGTAGTTTTTTGTTTTAATTTGTGTCTGCCTAATGTCTAATAAGTTGAATGAATATCTTTTCACTTATTCTATGACTTGTTTACTTATTGCTTTGCTCATTTTTCTACTGCACTATTTTGTCCTTTTTTTTTTTTTTTTTTTTTTTTTTTTTTTTTTTTTTTTTTTTTTTTTGCTAGGGATCATAAGCCACTATTACGCATGTTGCTAAAATTTTTCCTCTGGTCTGTTTCTTATCTTTTAAAAATCATGTCCCTAAATTATATAGAAGTTTTAGATCTTCATTTGGTCTGACATGCCCATCTTTTTCTTTGTGGCTTACCTGGCCAAATTTGACCAGAACACTGAAAAAGCCAGGGATCTGTTTCTCATTACATTTCTCATTACGATGCTGTGCAAATCACTTTATCTCTCCACCCCCCTTTCAAAAGGAAGAGAGATTCTATCTACAGGTATCAGAGAATAATGTAGTAGTGATCAAGATATGTGGAATTCTTCAAGGTTTTTGATTACCACAAAACTTATCTGTACTCATAGCATTTTAAGAAGATAAAATTATTCTCATGAGGTCTAAGTTACTACTTTAAGATGGCAGAGATACCGTTTTAAATGAGTTTTCCTACATATGACAAGTAAGCTTTTCTGTGTAAAATACCATAGAGTATTTTAACATGCAGACTTGATTGATCTAAAAGATCCTCATGGCCCCAGGCTCATCTCGCCAATGATCTCCTGGTTACAAACGCTGCTGTAAGGCTGTGGTTGAATTTGGTATCAGTGTTGCTTTTTGGATCAATTTCTAATAATCCTTAAACTAAGAATTTCCTTTGTGAAGTTGTGGGGCACAGGTATAAAAAGTGAAGCTTTGACAATATTTCTAAAAACTAAATTTCTTCTTTTTTTTAATGTTTATTCTCGGGGGAGAGAGAGAGAAAGAGAGAGAGAAAACACAAGTGGGGGAGGGGCAGAGAGAGAGGGAGACAGAGAATCTGAAGCAGGCTCCAGGCTCTAAGCTGTCAGCATAGAAGTCTAACACAGGGCTTGAACTCTGGAACCAGGAGATCATGACCTGAGCCGAAATCAGACGCTTAGCCAACTGAGCCATCCAGGTGCCCCTAAAAACCAAATCTCTTGGTATATAGTAACATCCATGATATGTGACCTTTAGGTACACATTAGAAAGCTGTGTGCTACAAAGGAATGTAGAGATCTAAAGACATGGCGGGGCGCCTGGGTGGCGCAGTCGGTTAAGCGTCCGACTTCAGCCAGGTCACGATCTCGCGGTCCGTGAGTTCGAGCCCCGCGTCGGGCTCTGGGCTGATGGCTCAGAGCCTGGAGCCTGTTTCCGATTCTGTGTCTCCC